TCGTGGTTCGTTCTTCTTNTNACTTTTTTCTTTTTCTCTCTCTCTCTCTCTATCTATCTATCTATCTTTTTTTTTTGTTTTTGTATTATTTTACTTTGTCATCTTTTATTTCCTTGCACTCCGAGTGTTTCTTTCTCCCTCCCCACTCACCCTCCCCGCTACTTTTCTCTTCATTTCTCACCCTCAGTGTGCAAGTGCCCCTGTCGTTGTTTTAAACCATCTTTACCTTCTCTCTCCACCCCTACTACCCGCAGTATACGCAGACGGAGAGGGAGCGGGGACGCGTTGTGGTGGTCGGGGCTTGCCGTGCGTGAGGGCAACACGCGCAGCTGCGTGCGTGCCGTTGTATTTATTCGGTGGCGTTGAGTGCCGAAATTTACTCGCAATCCCCGCGGCGTGATGATTCGTGGCGCTTTCTCTTTTGTGGATGTGACTGCGGGAGAGAGAGAAAGTGCATGCGTGTCTTCGTCAAGTCCTCTCTTTCCCCACATCCTCTCTGTTTCATCCCTTTTTCTCTCTCCTTCACTCGGTGGCTCTCTGTCCTTCGTGCCGGTGCAGCTCAACCCACCGGCCGTCGGCGCACAAGGGTCCAGGATCGGGGCTTTCAACGTACAAAGAAAAGATAGGGCAAAAAGTGGTTCCTTCATATAAAACTAGTAATCCTTCTCTGTGAGGGCTGGGCCGCGTGGGGTAGAAGCACACAGGCACAGGCGAGGCAGGAGAGGAGACAAAAAAAAAAAAAAGGAAAAGAGGGTGTGGGGCACGTAACCATTTTGTTGTGATTTTGCATATTTGTTTTTGTTGGACGCACTTGCAACCCACACGCCCATGCCTGTGACCCCGAAGCAAAGCGGCAGAGTGGCGCCACTGAACCAGCCCCGCATGTTCAGCCGCAGCAGTTCCAGCGGTGGCCTTGGGGGGGGCGGGAGTTTGCCGTGGCATTCCTTCCCCCTGCGCGGCAGCCTTTTACGATCCCCGCCTGGCCGTTCACATCACCTTGTGCACTCGTTTGCAAGCACGAGTGGCGGAAAGGGAGGAGTATCGCCGCCGCTTGGCCCGTCTGATGCCTATCCGACTTCTTCTCCCTGCGGACTGTTCGAGCGGTTGCATAGCAGCCGTCGCGGGCTTGGAACCCGTGGCGAGGAGGAGGCGCCGCCGATGTTGGACCTGGACGGCGTGGCCAACGAGGCGGAGGCGACAGCGCAAACCATGCCGCGCGGGGAGTTAGAGAATGCTGTGAAGGAACTTGACATGGAGAACCTCATGCTGAAGAGCGTCGTCCTCCGCGGCCGCGAGGAACTGATAAAGTTGCAGGATGGGATGCGGGAGACGTACGAGACAGCCGAGAAGGAGGGCGAAAACATTGCAAACCATCTCACCCGCCGGCTAAACGCCGTACAACACAAAAAGGCTCAGCTGGAGGCGCGGCTGCACAGGGAGGAGGCGATGAAGGCGGAACAGGAGCAAAAGCTGCTTGACCTTAAACTGAGCAGTTTCAACTTATCAAAGCGTGTGCAACACGAGGAGGAGGAAACGCTGGCAGCGTTGACGCATCGGCTGCAACAACTGCAAACGCAGCGGCAAGATTTTGAGAGCCTCCTTTCAGAGCAGTCTTCCTCGTTGCAGCAACTGCAGGAGCTTGTGGAGGGTCTGCAAACTCAGACAGGCAGCGGCCATGTTCCTCTTAAGCCTCCTGAAGGAGCAGTGGAAGCGGGTGGGGACACAACGCCTTCCAACGCCGAGGACATGACATCGGCCGAGCAGCTCTCGTTGCAGACTGGAACTCTTGAGCATGCAGATCCGGCGAGCGACCCACAGGAGATGCTTCAGGTACTGAAGCAAGAAGTCGCTTTTGTAGAAAAACTACAACATGACGCATTTGAACGGGGAGAGCGGTACAGGCTGAAACAAAAAGAACTTGAAGAGCGAATTTCGCACGCAGAACACCAACGTCGCAGCGGCCACTTGTCATTAGAGGGAATTCATCATGAACTGGCGGAGTCAACGGCTGTCGCTTGGGAATTGGGTTCCACGGCGAAGATAGCAAGGGAGGTGCAGACTGGCCGTCAGATCCATGCCCGTAGTCCTACCGGCTCGATCACCAGTGGTAGCCATGGCTTTGAGACGCCGATGGGCGTTGCGGAGTCACCGGGAGATTTGACCACGGGATCTGGGAACCCCCGGTCGAGTCCCGCCTCTCCACTTAGGTAGCTGTGCGTGGGTACATACACAGATACGGATATATGCGTGTATGGACATGAACATATAGCTGTATTTTTGCGTGTACTTGCGTTTGGCTTGTCTTTCAATGCTGCTTTGTTGGAATGATTTTGATTCTTTCTTTGATGCGCGCTCCCGTTTATGCTTTTGCCGGTTCTCATCAGCAGGCCCGCCCCGCGAGGCGAAATGTTTTGCGTGCATTCAAAGTGAGTGAAGGAGTAAAGGTAGTAGTGCGAAATGACTTGTGTGGGATCGGCAGAAGAAGCGAGGAATGAACTAATATATATATATATCTATATATCTGTGTGAGAGAGAGGGGACGAAGAGAGGAAATAGTGGGGCAAAAGGGTCATGTGGACTCACGCGGGACTGTCGATCCTTTTTTTTTTTTTTTTTATTTTGTGGTGTTTCCGCACAGACATTTTTTTTTTTTCCTTCTTTCTGAGTGCAGGCAGCCAGAGGCAGAGGAGGATCGAGGGAGGGAGGGGGAGAGCGGTGGATGCACTTGACTTCGCTCCTTCATCTGCCATCCCCTTTCTTCGCTCCCTGTACATTTGTGTGATGTTTGATCCTCTGTGCATGCTGTTTTTTTTCTTTTTATTGGTTCTCGTTATGATTATTATTTGATTTTGCTCCTTTCTGTCCACTCCCGTTGAATTCGGCACCCGCTGTAGTTGTTTTGTGTGGCGCTTGCGTGTGTCTGCCTTTGCTCTTCTGCGACGCTTTTTTCTCCTCCTCCTCCTCTCTTGCCTTAGCGAGTTGGTGGCTCACGTGGCACTGCGAGGACGTGGGGTGCGAATTTCGTTTGCTCTTATAATATTTGCGTTTGCTGGCGTAGCGTTCGGCATCTGGGTGAAGGGATGAAGGCGTTCTTGGCACGAAACCGCGGGACGCAGCGGCCCTGCCTCGGTCTCACCTTTGCGCTGCTCTGCGCGTTTGTTGTTGCGGCGGTTTACCTCACGGCGTACGGCGTTGGCCGGATGTCGGTGGTCACGCGCGGGCAGGAGAAGTTGGAACTCACCGCCCGTATCGTCAGCTCTATGACGGAGCGCCTTTTGCATTGCGAGGCGCAACGGCAGCAGCTGAGAAGCGGCCAGGCGACTGCGCGGATGGCACTCGAGATCGCCAGGGACACGCAAGCAAATTTGGAGACGGAGCTCGAGCTATTCCGTAGCCGCAACACCCTCAGCCTGCAGTCCGTGGAGGAGTGCAAGAAGGAGTTGGCGTCGCTGAAAGAAAAAGGGGTCGGCGTGCTGCTCTCGGCTCAGATTCTCAACCGCCTCGCGGAGGAGCGGCAGCTCTATCTGAACACCCTCGCCGTCGTCAATGCAAGTAGCGAGGTGGGGCGGTCGCAGACGGCCGACCTTTGGGCGGCAACCGCGAAGGAGGTCCGCAGGTGGGAGGCGGCTGTCCACAGCAATATGAAGCTTTTGCAAACGTGCAATGACGCGACGCAGCGCTACAGTATCGTGTTCGACGCCGGAAGTACCGGCAGTCGTGTGCATGTGTTCCGCTACAGGTTGATTTCCAAACCACACGCTGACAAGTTCACCGGGCACGTCAAGCGACACTCGCTGCTGCCCTTTCTGCGGCTCGAGGATGAGCTCTTCGTTGAGAACCATGAGCCTCTATCAGGGTTTGACAACGCCACTTCCGCCGCCGTCTCACTATTGCCCTTGTTAGACGCCGCAAAGTCATACATACCGCCGTCTCTGCATGCGTGTGCGCCGCTTGAGCTGAAGGCAACGGCAGGACTCCGACGCGTCGGCCGCGAGCGTGCACAGGCTGTACTGCACGCCGTTCGTCGCGTCTTTGAGCGTGGACCATTTTGGATACAGTCGGAGTTGAACTCCGTGCGCATTCTTGAGGGAAGAGAGGAGGGGCCGCTTGCGTGGCTCACTGTGAATTATCTTATTGGTACCTTACACGGTGACGCCAAAACAGCCACCATTGTCGACCTGGGTGGTGGATCGACACAAATCGTCATGCATTCTAATGACACCGATGGGCTGGACGCGTCTGCGGAGTTTTCACATGTGTTTAACGTGAGTGGTCGTTCAATTGTGGTGTATCAGCACAGTTATGAGGGTAATGGATTACACGCCGCGAAGGAGCAGCTGCTTCAGGCGGTGGCCGCCAGCGTAACGGGTAAAGGCCTTGCCGCGCAGGAGTTGAATACTTCTAACAGCACCGGAATAGATAATGGGCTTAATGTCTCGGATGATGTGGTGCGTGATGCCTTTCCCTGCTTTCCAAAGGGATACGTTCACATGGAAAGTGGCATCTCCAACACGCGGGATGGGGGTCAGGTGCCGTCGATGCAGGCCTGCTCGGCCCTCTTCCGCCGTCACGTGGTGCGGAAGCATCAACCGTGCGGCGGTGCGTCCTGCGGGTTTAACGGTGTCTTTCAGCCAAACATTTCTGTTGCATTAACAGGTCCTGTGTACGTCTTCTCCTTCTACTACGATTGCCTGAAGCCTTATATAAAAGGGGAGGTTATTCTCGTACAGGATGTTCTTCAAATTGCAACTCACGTGTGCCGTTCCATGAAGGTTGTACAAGAATTCCATGCAACGAAGGATACGGCGAAAGGAGGAGGGTTAAGAAAGCCCGAAATGGAGTGTTTTGAACTTTCCTACCTCTTTACGCTGCTTCACGACGGGTTTGGATTTCCGCTGGAGCAGCGGCTGCACATTGCAAAGAAAATCAACGGATTTGAGGTTTCTTGGGCACTTGGTGCCTCTCTGGCTACCCTGGAAGGCCAATCCGCCTAATCGGTTACGGACTTCTCCTTAACATATGCACATATGCATATGTATATGCATTCTCGCATTTATGTATAATATACGCGTGTCTGCATTCTTGCGTGGTCTGAATTTTGTTTGTTGGCGCGGGTAGGGGTAAGCAAAATTGGGAACATGCGGAAGGGGGAGGACGATGGGTGACTCCTGAGATTTGGGGGTGGTGGTCAAAAAGGGTTTAAAACATTGCATTCGTGTTTTTGCGTGTGAGTGTGTGGGTGTATCCGCTTCTTCTTTACATGTGTTGGTTTGGTCTGTGGTCCCTTCCCATTGCTTTCCGTATATACGCACACACATTACTATTATCCCCTGCTAATGAGTCTCTGCTGCTTCACTTTGGGTAGGCTTCGTCGCGCGTAGTAGGCAGAGTAAGAAGTGCGGGATAGTCGCCCCTTCCTCCATACGCACACCTGTACACACACTCACAAAGAAGGAGGTACAAGCAAGGTAGATTAATATATATATATATATATATATATAGAAAATTCTTCAAATGACAGACGCAGAGGAGCGTTTTTTGGACGCCGTGCAGCAAGCCTACGATAACAAGGCCCTTACGCTTTACTTCAGCTACCAAGAGGACTTTGACGCCATCCCGGCGGCCATCAAGGCGCTTCGTGAGACGCTGGAGGTGCTGCATGTGGACAACAACTACTCTCTCACTGCGCTGCCTCCGGCGATCGGGGACCTCGGTCGTCTCCGCTGGCTCAATGCGAGCTACTGTCGACTGATGTCTCTCCCGCAGGAGCTTGGGCGTCTCTCGCACCTGGAACGCCTGTACCTGAGCAACAATCTGCTGCAGTCGGTGCCAGTGGAGATGTGGCAGCTGAAGAGTCTTCAGGAATTGCGCCTGGACAACAATAAGCTACGCGTGCTTCCTGGCGGCATTCTCTTCCTACTGCGGCTGGAGAGTTTGACGTTGGAGAACAACCCGCTGTTTGTACCAGAGGACGTTGCGGGTGCGGCTCCGTCGACGCTTGTGTCGCCGTTGAGTTCTGTGGACTGCTCAAACTGCTGCGTGCGAGTGCGGAACTATGAAGTGCTGATAACATTCCACAACGTCGCCGCGCTGCGGTCAGTTCCCTTCATGCACTGCCTTTGCTCACCGGTGTGCAGGCGACACCTGGAGGTACGTTTAGCGGAGTACGACGCGTCGCACTCCTCTCCGAATGCAGCGTCATCGCCGTCGTAAACGCGCCGCGCAGGAAAAGAGCTGCCTTTTGATGTAAGTGACCGTGACAATATTTTTCTTTTTTGACCGGTCTCATGTAATTACGCTTCGGGCTCCGTCACTCCCACTGCCTCCCCAGCGGGAGGCGAGGGGGCGAGCAAGAAAGGGTTAGGGGGAAGACGAAAAGAACTGCAAGAGCAAAAAAGACCAAAAAAAAAAGAAAACAGAAAAAACTGCCGGGGCGGTGACCTTGTCACCAAATGTGTCTTTATTTACTTTTTTTCCCGTTTCCCTAGTACTGTTCCTCTATTGGATGTGTTTTGTTGGGTGGTCTCCTCTCTGTGTTTTTGCGGCTGTTTTGTGCCGTTGGTGCTGGTTTCCTTGCTGTGTGGTCATCCTGCCTCCTCCTCCCTCCCCTTCTCCGCGTCTTTTTCCTCCTGCGTTTGGAGGGTCCTGTGCTGGGGCGTGCGGCCAGGCGAGAGACCTCCGCACGCGTGCCGCAAGCAGTGAAGTGATGCAGATGACTGAGGCCACGTTGGGGGCGGTGAAGCCGGAGAGCGGGCCGCTGCAGGCGAGATCCGCGGCACAACCACCCGACCGTGCGGAACTGCAGCAGATGGTAGCACGGGAGGTCGCACCTGCGGTTTGTGAGGCTGTCGCCGAGGCAGTGAGGCGACAGCAGCGGGAGCAGGCAGCGGCTGCTCAGCGCCAGAATGAGGAGATGATGGATGTGCTGCGCGAGGTAGAGCGCCGCGTCACTGTGCTTCAGCGGCGGGTGGACACGATATCGCACGAGCACCGCAAGGCGTATAAACTATTGGGCCGCCTTTGCTGCGCCATTGAAGGCGCCACGCCCGAGCCACCCTCGCATGGGGAGATGGAGCCAGTTCGCGTGGGTGGGCTTTTCAACGCGCTCCTGCAGGAACTTGAGGCGGGTCGTCTGGATGCGGTGCGACTCCTTTTGGTCGCTGGTCTGGCCCCTTTTCTGCACGAGGCCCAGGGAGAATTGCGGCATCGCCAACGGACACAATCGCAGAAAGAGGAAACTGAGGCAGAGGAAGCAACGAGAGGTATAACGGGGTCTGAGATGCGAGTCATCACCCACACCGTCTCTTCTTCTAGTGGAGCTCCCGGTGCGCCCCAGCGACTGACGCAGCGGCCATCGACAATTCTCGCGCCACCTTCTCTCTGCGACGCTGTTGTTTCTAGCGCCAAGTTGAAGCAGTGGCGGACGCTGCATCCCTCACTGGATACTGCCACCGCGTTGGAGAGCAGCAAGAGGGGCGCCGCGGGGATTGAGGAAGTGGTCCTGCAACGCCGTTCAGATAACGGAGGTGCTTTGGATGGGGTGCACCCCTATGCCAGCGCGCCAGCCAATCCGTGGCCTCAGGGTATGATGGGCAATGCCAACAACAACTCCGCCGTCCATTCTTTGTGGGGCGCTACGCCACGCCAGACGGTTGATTATACGGGCGGCAGCAGTGGCCGGAGTGTCAGTCTTAGTTGCCGCCGAAGCCCACGGTTGGACATTGAGGCGGTTGATGCCGCATGCGACCTGTTGCCGGCGCACCTGGCAAAAAAAGTTGCAGGCGGCGGGGTGCGAGTGCTGGCGACGGCGCGAGACGGGATTGCGGCTCGCAGTGGGGTGCTAGCTGGCGACATCATTTTTGCTCTTGGGAACCGTTCTGTGCCGACGTGCGGGCGGTTGGCTCAAGCCTTGGAGGACGCCTGCGCCGCAGGGTACGATGCGACTGGGTTGAAGTTGCACGTGTATCGTCATAGCGTTAGGGAAGAACTCGCTTTGTCGCTCGTGTGAATTAGGGGCGCATTTATAGGGCCGCACTGTGTGCCGGCTTTGCTGCGTAAGAGTACCAGCGAAATGTTAGAAAGCAGTCGCTGAGAGCAGGAGGGAGAAGCACACACATATAGGGAAGGAAGTGTGTGTGTTTTGTTTTGTTTTTTTTGTTTGTGCTCGCATCCCTCAGGATATGTTTTTTTTTTTTTCATTGTTGGCATGCGCACGCACAGCTGCTCTCTCTCCCCCCGTTTTTTTTTTTCTTTGTGTGTGTGTGTGTGTGTTTTGGCGGCTGTGTGAAACGGGTGCGGCATTGCTTGGCAGCGACGCGGTAACACACGCGGTAGCACACTCGCAGTGCATTTTGCTTCTGGACTTGGCGAAAGGGAAGAGGAAGGGGTGATGGAGTTGGACGAGTTCCTTGCTGACAAGTCGTCGGCCGCAGACCCGTTACACCTTGACGACGTGTTTGAGAGACCGTCGGCCGCTGGAGCGCCGTCCGTTTTGGACGTGCCGAAGCCGCGGCGGCCGCCTGCAAAAGGTCCACCGCCGCCTCGGGTACATCCGGTGCAGCTCCAGTTCTTCCGGGATCCTCCGCCGCACGTGAAGCCGTACGTGACAAACGCGTGCTACTACGCCAACCAAATTGCCCTGATCACCCGCGAGGGGGCTCGCGAGAAGCGGGGGATTGTGATAAACGACAGCAACGTTTACATCATGGGCGACGGGTCGAGGGTGGAGCAAACGATACCGCTCACGCAGGTGGAGGCAATGATCATGCAGGACGTCCTCACGCCGAAGTCCCTCGGAATCTCAAAGGAGTGGCAGACGCATGTTCTATTGCATTTGCGTGACTTTCCGGATCTTTTCTTTGCACTTGCGTATGAAGAAAAGCACGACCCCACAACGAGGGCCGCCGTAGGCAGCAGAACTCCTGCGCTCGAGACGGTGCTGACGGGGCTGCTGTGGGCATACGATGTGGACCTCCTCGTCTGCAGCCTCAGGGAGGAGGAGTCGATTCAGCAGCTTCTCAAGCGTACCGTGACGGACGTGGGGATGCGGCGCGAGTGCGACGAAATTCTCGCCTACCGCACCGGCCTCACAACCGTGCTGAAGGGGTTGCTGGGGCAGGAGGTACAGCTTGTTGCGAGCCTCAACAAAATCAGGGTGGCGAGTGCCTCACAGGCGGTGAGGACCCTTCTGAAAGAAATTGTATTGATCGAGGGCAAGAACGAGGCGATGATGTCGGCGCTGGATCAGGCAAGTGCCTCACTTGATCGGTGCCTGTCGAAGGAACGCGAACTGCGCGAGTCCCTGGAGGTAAAAGAGAGGGAGATTCAGTCGAAGGTGGACGCACGGCTCGCGGCGCAGCAGAGTGAAATCATCGCGAGACATGCGCTGGATTACGAAATCATGACGTCAGCCCACCAGACGGAGATGCGGCACCTCGGACTTCTGTGCGACCTTCTGCAGGCTTCCCTCGAGCGGTGCCGCAAGTCCCCCGCCGTCACCGTCGGCGAGCTCGAGACGGAGTTGGCGGCGTTGCAGCGGCTGAGGCAGGCGGTGCTCTTGCGTAAGGGCGATGCGACGGAGAAGCTAGCCGAGGCGAAGCGGTCTCTCATCGCCTCGAAGGCAGCGCTGCAGCAGGCGAAGGAGGAAGTGGATGTTCTGCGACAACTGCCGCCAGGAGAACCCGTTCCGCCCAGCTTTAATCGCGGGATGGCACCTACGTTTCTTCCTGTGCATCTGTCGCAGAGCCAGCTGGAGAGCCCGAGCGCGGACCTCGAGGAGACCGTCGCGCCGCAGAGCAGCGTGCGTGCCGGTGACGCCAAAGGCACGGCTGTGGTGCTTCTCGACGACGATGACGACGATGACAATATCGATTTTATTTCGCTGCCAGAGCAGCTGTCGGCTAACACCCACCCCAATCTTCTGGTGGATGACGACGATTTGTAGGAGACGTAAGACCAACACACACGGCGAAGAAAGAAAGAGGGGAGTGGAAAAGGAATAGTTATAGATGAGGATATTTCTCTGTGCATATGTCCCTTTTTTTTTTTTTTCGGTAGCTTATTTTTTCTTTTTTTGATTATCAATTTTCAGATTTATTTTATTATTACCACTATTACTTTTGGTTTGTGTGTTTTGTTGTCTATTGATTGTTTAGCTTTTCAGCGAAGCAGTTGCTGCAGACCCCTCTCCTTCCGCGCCACCGACGCGCCCTGAGCCTTACCTCCTTGCCTCCCTGCCACATGCTGCCGGGCAGCCACTGCTTAACTGCCGCTGCCGTCGTGTTGGGTGTCAGCTCCCTGAGGGCGTAGCAGGCAACGTTTATGTCTCTGTGTCTATGTGTACCCGTCTGCAATTTATGCTTCCACTTGCCGTCGTTGTTTTTATTTTTTGTGTTCTTTTTTTTTTTTTTGTTTGTCTTGTGTCTTGTTTATTTGCCTGCGGCAGCCGTTACACTGCGGGGGAGGGGGTTACGATGCCTCCTAAGAGGAAGTCCGACAAGAAGGAGGATCCGCTCTTTGTGGAGGAGGAGGGCAGCTATGTGCACGAAAAGGAGTTGGCGCGATACGTCGGCGGGGTGCGGCGGGCGACGGGGGGAAACTTCCGTTGCCGCCATGGCCGTGGTGTGTTTAAAAGCCCCGTGATTCGCTACGAGGGCGACTGGAACGAAGATGAGATGCACGGTAGCGGCGAACTGCGGTTTCTCGCCACGGGTGACGTGTACCGCGGCCAGTTTGCGCACGGAATGTTTGAGGGGACGGGCACGTACATCTGGGCGTCAGGGTCTTCCTACGAGGGTGCGTGGCGTGCCAACCGCATGCACGGACTTGGCACGTACACTGATGTAAATGGCAAAGTGTGGAACGGCAAGTTCTACAACGGCACCGGGCCCGGGCTCACCCCATTCGCCGGTGGCGCATGTATAATGGATAGGATCGCCCCAGCCGCAGCAGAAGTAGAGGAGGAGGTGGAGGAAGCACAACCGGCGGGGACGCCGGAGGCGGGGGAATTGGGTGCGTGTGGCACATGACTGATTGCAATGCGTGTGCGTGTGCGTGTGCGTGTGCGTGTGCGTGTGCGTGTGTGTGAGGAGGGGGAGTTGTTTTGCTTTTACTGCCGCTGCTGTTTTCACATTCCTCTCTCTGCTACAATCCTTTTCCTTCTTGTGCTCCCATCCGTGATGGATTGGCGGCAGAGGGGAGGCGAAAGAAGGCCGACTAGCATTAGTGAGAGGTGGCGAAGGCGAAAAGGAACAGACAATAAACACAAAGGGCGATTGTGCACGGTAAGGAAGAAGTGGATCTGCGGGCGACACACACACACACACACACACACACACACGTCTGGACCAGCGGGAGTCGACCCAACCGACAGGACCGCCGGGAAGTAGCAAACGAAAAAGGCGGAAGGGAGAGCGTTGCACTCAGCATATATACATATATACATATATACATATATATTGGTCATATACACGTGGGGGGCGACAAGGGCAGGTGAGCGTCGACAGATACAAATCTGCGGTAAACCATGCCTTCCATGGGCGAGGCCATCATGCGTGACCTCACGTCGGAGTTGGAGGCGATGCAGTCTCACTATACGGTGCAACGCTTTATCAGCAGCGGCAGCTACGGTGCCGTATGTGCCGGTGTGGATGAGAACGACTGCGCAGTGGCGATTAGGCGCGTGTTCAACACCATCTCTGATGGCCGCACGGTGAATATTCTTTCAGACCCGTTTCTCTGCAAGCGGGTGCTGCGGGAGATCATGCTGCTCAACCACTTTCACCACCCAAACATCCTTGGATTGAAGAACATTTTTGTTCACCTGCAGCCGCCGAACCAGCACAAGTTGTACCTTGTGACGGAGCTCATGCGCACCGACCTGGCTCAGGTGATCCACGACCAACGCATCCGCATCTCTCCGCAGCACATTCAGTTCTTCATGTATCATATTTTGCTTGGGCTGCATGTGCTGCACCAGGCGGGCGTGGTGCACCGTGACCTTCACCCCGGCAACGTGCTGGTGGCGGAGAACAACGACGTTGCCATCTGCGACTTCAACCTTGCTCGCGAGGACACGCAGGATCAGAATAAGACGCACTACGTCACCCACCGCTGGTACCGCGCGCCGGAGCTTGTGATGCAGTTTAAGGGCTTCACAAAGCTTGTTGACATTTGGTCTGCCGGCTGTGTCATGGGCGAGCTGTTCAACCGCAAGGCCCTCTTCCGCGGCTCCACCTTCTACAACCAGCTAGACAGGATCGTCGAGGTTGTGGGCACGCCGAACGACGACGACATCCGGATGTTCTCCTCCGCGCAGGCCCGCGACTACCTGCACCACTCGCTCTCCAACTGCAAGAAGCGGCCGTGGGAGGAAGTGGTGTCGACATCCGACAAAACGGCCCTCGACCTCCTCGCCCGCATGCTAGAGTTCAACCCGACGAAACGCATCACGGCGGAGCAGGCGCTGCAGCACCCGTACTTTGCATCTCTGTACGACCCACTCGATCTCACGGAGGCCCGCAGCGAGCCGTTCCACTTCCGTGACGTCAACGACATACCGACGATGCATGATATGTTCCTTGATGAGGTGCGGCGCTTCAAAACACTGCGGGAGCGGCGGGACCTCATCGCGCAACAGCGGGGGCTCGGCGGTGACGCTTGCAAGCACGGAGAACGTCCTCGGCATGGATCACATGCCCCGAACGCACAGCATGATGGAGGTGGCGGAGATGGTGCAGAAATCGTAGTGGTGGCGGCAACAAAAGGGATGGAGATAAAAATCAGCGGCGAGGACGTGTGATGCCCACACAGGCACGACACCACCAGTGACGGTGGCGGCGGTGCGGAGGGGACGGGGTAGAAGGAGGAGGAGAAAATTTGTCAGTTGCGCACATAACCAAAACGGAAAAAAAAAGGTGGGGTAGTGACGTAAATAAGAGGTACCCGCAGAAATAGGAGGGAAGAAAGGAAATCAAGACACGAGGAGAGGATAAGTAGAGGTGGGGGGAGCACGGCGTCGATGTGAAGAAAAAGTAAAACCGACTGACAAAATAAGCACAAGTTTTGTGCGTGGGAGCGGCAGGTGAATGAGAATTGGCCTTCAATGACTTCAGGTATTTCCTTGTGTTTAGGAGCGGGGGAGGGGGATAGGAATATATACACTATGTTAGTTCCATGGTCATATGTATGTGCAATATACATGCAGGGAGACAACTTGCGTGGTGTACTGATTGTATAGTGCACTACTGTCCGCGCGTGTGACGGATAGACATGGCGTGAGTGGTGGTGGTGGTGGTGGGGAATTCGTGAATGACTGCAACGGGGGACGTCACACCGGTGATGACGCAGGCGACGCGTCTTGCAACGGTGCAGGTCGTTTTGCGCCTTTGTGAGGAGAACACGGCGGCAGTGCATGCGAGTCGAGCAAACAGTAAAATAAAATGAAGAGAGGAGCAAAACGAATGAGAGGAAACTGCGACAGGAAATATGTGGGCCTGGCTGACTCCGTTTGAGGGACAAGAATGGAAAGCAAAAGGGAGAGAGAATCTGAGAGCTGAAGAGAGGGGTGGCTACTTGGATTTCGTTTCTTTTTTTTTTTTTTTCGTTTCTTTATATATATTTCATTTAACTGAATTATTTCTTCGTGCGTGTGTAACTGTATGTGGGTGGGTGGGTGTGTCTTGGTTCTCGCCCCTTCCTTCTGTGCATCAAACCCCTTTGACTTCCCTCTTGCACACCCGCACCCGCACGAGTATGCCTTTTTGTTTCACACTCATTTCTTTGTTTTCGGCGGCAGGGGGAGGGGGGAGGGTTGCCGGTTCCACCGCCGTTTCAAGTCTGTGGGCTGCCGCCAGGGGCGTACATGCAGTGCAGCACTGGTCCACGCGTAGGGGCGATGCGGCGTGTTGGTGATTGTGTGGTTGCGGGAGAGCGAAGGCAGGGGATCAACTGGGGTTTGTATTGTGTGATTCCCTGTTCCGTTTATTATTATTATTTATTTATTTATTTATTTTTTGGCTGGTGGTTACTGGCGCTTGACCTTCCCTTCCAACCCCCTCGCAGCAGCAGCAGCGGGCCCCTCTGCTTTCGTTTAGACTCCTCCTCTCTCCTACTTTGCCGCCTACGCGCCTTATGGCTGCACGCATGACGTACACGAGGCATCGCTTGGGTCGACTACCCAGCGGAGCGTGCCTTATTCTGCCTCTTATTTGCCTGTTTGTCTGTGTGTGCGTAAGTGCGTCTGTGAGGTGTGGGGCGGCGCCTATACATCCATTATATATTATTTTTCCCACTGATGACAATACTTGGGCGTGCGTGTGGACACCGCTTTGCTGCTGCTGCCAGCCCCCTCCCTCTCCGCTTGTTGAGGCCTGTACTGACATGCGGTTTGTCTTTGCGTGCGTCCATCGTCTCTCTTGCTGCTTAGGCGTCTCAATGCTCCACTCCAATCCTCACTCCTTTTTTTTTTTCTATCTCTCACTCTGTGCTTCAGTAAAGGAAATCCCAGCAAGAAACATACATACACGCACACGTTTACACCCAGCGAGGGAAACAGCGGAATCAGCAGAAGGTGGTGTGCGAAGGAACAGCGTGAAGATGTCCAAGACACTTTACATTTTGTACGATGCCCCGACCGGCTACGCCGTCTACAAGATGCTCACAACAGAGGAGGTCGGTGCCGGCGATGTGGCGCTGCAGAAGGATCTGCAGACGTTTGCCACCTTCTCCCCCTGGGTAAAGCTCATGTCGTTCGCCCCCTTCCAGTCACCGGAGAACGCCCTAGAGGATGCCATCTGCATCAGTGAGTCCCTTGTTAGCCCCTTCCTGAGCAACTTTCTCACCTCCGTTCTTGCGAAGAAGGCGAAGAAGGGTGAGGCAAACTGGGAGCTGGGGGTGTGCGACGCCAAACTCGGCAGCGCCATCCACGACGATCTCAAGTTCCCTGTTGTGTGCAACGAGAATGTGGTGGAGCTCAGCCGCTGCCTCCGCATGCACGCGGAGAAGCTGCTGCCGGAGCACAAGGAGGGTGACATTGTTCGTGCGCAGTGCGGTCTCGGCCACGCTTTCTCGCGTAACAAGGTCAAGTTTAACGTGCACCGCAGCGACAACATGATCATTCAGTCCTCTGCCCTTGCGGAGCACATGGACAAGGGGGTGAATCTCCTCGGAATGCGTGTCAAGGAGTGGTATGGTTGGCACTTCCCAGAGCTTGCGAAGGAGGTGCCGGAGCCGCTCAAGTACGCCAAGGTTGCGCTGCTCATTGGTAGCCGCAGCACGCTGGAGGAGCGTGACAGCGAGGAGGTGACGCAGCAGATTGCAGACATCCTCGACGGCGACGAGTCCCTCGCGGCCCGCGTCTACGAAAAGGCTGTGACCTCCATGGGCGGCGATATGGCAGAGGTGGATTGGTTGAACATCCGTGCTTTTATGGAGCGGGTGGCTTCGCTTGGCGCCTACCGAGAGTCGCTGCAGCAGTACCTTGTCGACAAGATGATGCTGGTGGCGCCAAACCTGACGGAGCTGATGGGGCAGAACATCGGGGCGAAGCTCATTTCAAAGGCGGGCTCGCTAACAAACCTCGCCAAGGCGCCCGCTAGCACCATTCAAATTCTTGGCGCCGAAAAGGCGCTCTTTCGCGCTCTCAAGAAGCGAAAAGGCAACACCCCAAAGTACGGGCTCATCTTCCACTCGACGTTTATTCAGCGCGCGGCGAAGGAGCACCGCGGGAAGATCTCACGCTACCTCGCCAACAAGGCCGCACTAGCCTGCCGCATTGACTGTTTCATGGACACCCCGCCGGCCGTCTTTGGCGAGAAGCTGCGTGAGCAGGTGGAGGCGCGGCTGAACTTCTTCGACACGGGCAACAAGCCGCCGTCGAACATGGCTGCCATGGCGGAGGCACTCGAACAGTACCAGAAGATCCTCCGCAAACGGTCCAAACGGCAACGCGAGGCGAATGCCGCGGCGGAAAGCAACAAGGAGGACGCGGTGGCGGAGGAGGCGCCAAGGAAAAAGCGCGCGCGTCGCGAGGTGGTGCAGGAGTCGGGTTAAGCGTTTTGTTTTATGTGTGAGTGTATGTGTGTTGGGAGGAGTAAAAAAGCAGCGGGCGTGTGAAACCGCGGGGGGACGGGGGTGACACGAGGCGGGGGTGGCGGAAGTGTCGGTGCTGGGAAATTTAAAACAAAAACAAAAAACTAACAAATTAAGGAAAAAAAAAAGAAAACAGCAGCGGCAGTAAAAAAAAAAGGTAGGCGAGAGGCGCTGCATGCACGTCTCTTGCTTTCATGCTTTGTGCGACGCCCCGCCGCGCCCCGTCGTGCTCGTTGCGCTGCCCTCCGCGTCCCCGCTTTTTTTTTTTCCGCTCTTCGGCACCCTTTTGGAGAGTCGCGCCCCCACTCCGTTTGTTCCCATGTTTTTTCTAAACGAGCAGAAGGAAAAAAAAAAGTTGACGTGTCGTGCATATAACTTAAAAAAAAATTGGTGCCGGCGGCGTGGTGGCGTAAACGGTTACATTGCGAATAAAGCCCTGGACGAGAAGTGCAGTGCGGCAGGCCGGCGGGAGCCGGCACGCTATTTTTTTCTGCTGATGTCCGCTCTGGCCTCCTTCCACTGTTTCTCGCATGGTGCTCCGTCTTGATTCTTTTCGTTTTCCTTTTTTTTTTTCTTCTCTCGTTTTGCGTCTTTTTCTCCACGCTGACGTGGTCTTCAAAAGGAGTTTGTTGTGTATGTGTGAAACACACACACACGGGTTGTACTTCTCTGTGTGTGTGTTCGTTGCTCTCCCTAGCCATGTCAACTGCTGGCCCGATGCGCTTCACTGAGGAGGACGCTGTGGCTTTGGACCGCTGGATTGCTGACGTTTGCGGTGAGGAGGTGCAGTTTCCTGCCCACAGGCAGGCCCAATTTTCCGCCTACAAGCGGCATCTAGAAATGATTCGGGCAGCCGGTGGCCAATCACTCTTTCGCCACTCCTCTCGCTCAGGGACGCGGGAGACGTTGGCCCTGCAGAACATGCTTGCGGCGTTGCATCAGCTATGCAACTATGATTTGGGTAAGGTGGAAAGTGTTAGGAAGGAGATTGGGTTGGTTGAGCGCATGCTACATGAGAAGGAGGTGCCTGGAGAGGGAAGGAGTGCAGCTGCAGCGTCGCCAGAAACAGCCGTGGAAGGTGATACTGTGAGCGCTACAGGTATGAGCCATGATACATGCGTGAACAGCAGGAAACTCGCGGAAAGCTACGTGGCGGAGATTGAACGCCAACGGCAGTTGAACCGGGCGAGCATGGCGTCGTGTCGCGCACGGCACCTGAAACTGCTTGACCAGCACAATCAGCTGCAGGAGGAGTTGAATGCCCTTCGTGAAACGGAGGAGTTCGTCATGTCTATGTTGAATGAAACGACTGCGGCAGTTATCAGCGAACGTGACGCGATGGCGCGGGAGCAGGCGGTGTGGGAGCAGCGGAAGCAACAGTTGTCCAATACGAATGCTGCGGAACACGAAGGTGGTGACGTCAAATGTAATGCGCAGGGAGAAAACACAAAAACGCTGGTGGAGTTGCGCGCGTCGCTCAATAGCGTTGCCCTTGAGCTTGCAAAGACGCAGGCGCAGCTGAGCAACCAGGACGCCGCCCACGCCGTGCGGTTTCGTCTGGCGCGTCAGCGATTAAAAGACTGGCAGGACATGGTGGAGCACGTGCGCCGCACACACGACCAACTCTACGCACGCACACGAGTGATTAGCACGGTGGTCGAAACCAACGCCGCGGGGCTGGCGGCGGACAGTAGGCTTAGCTACGTGGAGCAGCTGCGGAAACTCAACCGTCTCCTCCTTGAGAGGTCCGTCAAACTGCTGGGGCTGAAGCGTGGGGGGGAAGAGGAGGTGAGCGGCGTCGTTGGTAGCGCGGGAGGCGGGGGCGGAGGTGTCCTGCGAGAACTGTTCACCCCCAGCCAACGCGCAGCCTCCTGCGCCTCTGTAATGGAGGCGGAGAGCTCCTTGTCAACCTCGCAGCACCGCTCCTCCGTCTCCACGGCGTCGCTGACAGGTACGTCGACGGAGGCATCCTCGCCGTCGGCGCTTGCTGGTGCAGGCAGCTCCAACGCCCATCAGCAGGCGCTGGCAAAACGGCGGCGCCACCGCCACACCTACGCCCTCTTGACGGACCTTCGACGATGGGAAACGGCGCTGGTAAAAGAATCTGCTGTGCTTTGTGGCATCTGCGAGAAGGGGCTTTCTTCCACGTCCGCGCCCTCGCCGTCGAGGTCGCCGAACGCGTGTATTCAGCAACTCCGGAGCCTACTGCTGGCAGCGTAATACGTGCGGTGGCGAGGGTGTTGCAGGGGCGACAAGTATTCCTAATGTGCTCCTCGGGGGTTGTACATATTTACGTGTAGAGATTATGCTGCAAGTAAAAGAGAGCCACAGAGACAATGTGCCTCTGTTCTTCTTTTTAATTTTTATTTTTTATTGCCATATCTCTTTTTGCGTGCCCGTTTGTTATTGTTGTTCAGTCCGCGTGTGTCGTGTATGATGTTTCAGTGTGTGTGTGTCTGTGTGTATGTTTATGTGTTTTATGAGTGATATTCCTTCCATTTCGCTTGAGTGGCGGCTTCTCACTGGCTGTTGTTGTTGTTGTGTTCACCACGACAGCAGGGGCCGTGTGCCGGTGTGCGCATTCGACAGACGCGCCTTTTCAGAAGTGACAGGCGTGAAAGCAGCCACGATGGGCCACGGGGGTCCGTGCCCACGCAGGCAAAATGAAGCGCACTGAAGGAGTCTTTTCCGCCGAAGGCTCTCAAGGAACCGCGAGGGGGCGGCTCTTCTATACGAACATCTTGCACAACGTTGATATCGCCACACTAACTGGCGTGTACACCGCACGTTGGGACCTCGGCCCTGCTCCCGTCGAGTGATCCGCAACGAGAAGAGGCTGAAGCAGGAAGGGAATTTTTTTAAAATATAATAAAATGCAGCGGAAGCGATGCGGTTTTGTGAGGCCCGGCCGCTGCCAAAATGACTGCCGGGTGACAGAAGTTTACAGAAGCAACGTCTCGCACGCAACGCCGTAAGTGAAGTGTGTACATATATGACTATGAATATATCAATGTTTTTCTGTGTATTATTACGCCCAGCCGAGTTTTGCACTTATTGCTTGAAGCCTTGCATTTCTCGTGTGTGAGCTGTTGTTGTTGTTTTTTTTGTTTTTGTTTTTTTTTTCTCTCCGTTCGGACGCTTGCCGCGCTCTTGGGCCTCGCTGCGGTCCATCTTGGCTGGGAAGATGTCTGTCGTGAAAGCAGCGCAGCGACTTTCTCTACGCCTGCCTCCTTATTTTATTCCGTGAGACCAAGAGCAGTTTCACGCACACACGCACACACACGTCTGAGCGGAGGGTGGGGGTGCCTGTGGCGGTGGTTGTCTCCTCTTGTTGTGGATGTCTCGTGTTGCTCTCACATGTGTCGCCGCCGCGGCTGCGCGTACGGGTGCGTGGCCACATCGCGCTTTCAACTGGAGTGGTGCGGTGTTTTTTTTTCGCAGTCTCAGCAGGTTCCCTGCCGCCGCCGCCCTTGCGACGTCATCCCGCTAGAAAGGAGACTACAGCCCCAACGTGTTTCACAACTCCAACCCGTAACACGGCGGGTCGTACGCCCGCCACGAGCGCAGCACGCGCGACGACGAGGTGGATGATTTTTTGCGGAGTGTGCGGGGTGGGTGCCGGCGGACGACGCCGTTGCGTCTCCCCTCACTGCGGCGGCGAAGACGAATGCTGCCGCGTCTAAGGAGGAGGGATTGTCGCCGCTGACTGTTTTTATCGGCGAGGAGGCCATCAAGCGGGAGTTTGTGTTCCCCACGTACCGTGATGCGTATCTTTTCATGGGCCGTTTCTGGGCCTTCTGCTACGGCAGCGACAAGTACCCGCACGTGACGTGGGATGGCACCCGCATCACGATGTACCTCTACTCCCCGTCGTTTTGCGGGATCAGCCGGCGCGAGGCCCGCCTCGCCGCCTTCCTGAACGACCAGTACAACATGTTCAAGAAAAGCAGGCTGCAGTAGGAGCAGCTGATGTGCGTCGCGGTGAAGCAGGCACGGGCGGAGGAGTTGATGGGGGATGTTGTGGCGGTGCAATTGAGGCAACGGGAGGAGGGGCGACGGTGGCCGCTAGCGGAAGTCACGGAGGGGCGTGCGAAAATGTGGGACGCGCTTCTTGACGACCCTGAGGG